GAACACCACTCCTGTCTTCTGGAATTCTTTCTCGAACACCGCCCCTCTCTTCTAGTATCCTTTCTCGAATTCCACTCCTGTCTTCCGGTATTCTTTCTCGAATTCCACTCCTGTCCTCTGGAATTCTTTCTCGGACTCCTACCCTATCCTCCGGTATTCTTTCTCGGACTCCTACCCTGTCCTCTGGTATTCTCTCCCGAACTCCTCTATCCTCAGGCATTCTTTCACCCCTACGTAACGATTTCCTTTCAGGCGACCTTACAAGATCGAGATCATAAGATTGTTCATGGGTACGAGGTTTTCTTTTCTCGTGTGACCTGGATCGGGCGCGAGATCGATCATCGCGTTCCCTAACTCTTCCAGATCTTTCACGGTAATCATCAACACCTCTTTCTCGTGATCTTGAGCGCCCACGATTTCGTTCGTTATATTCTTTTTCTCGAGTTCTTCCTGGTCTATGTAGCGTATCTTGTGCATCCTCATGCCCTCTTTCCATAGATCTAGAACGCCTATGATTTCTTTCCTTTTGTCCAACTGATCTGGAGAATTTTTGATCATTTTCTACGAATTTTGTATTTCCCTGGAAATGATCACGATCCTTCACTCTAAATATAGCCTGGTCTTCCTTTCTTTTCTGACCTCTTTTTTTCTTTTCTTCTACATCTACAAGCCCTCTTTGTAATGGAGAGTACTCTTGTGAACCTCTTTTTTTCTTCTCTTCCACATCCACATGACCTCTTTGTAATGGAGAGTACTCTTGTGAACCTCTTTTTTTCTTCTCTTCTACATCCACATGTCCTCTTTGTGATGGAAAGTACTCTTGTGAACCCCGTACCTGGGAAATCAATGTCTTTCCTGATCCCCGATTGACATTTAGAGATGCTTGAACTTTTCTTTTGGATGATTCCCGCGAAAGCAAAGATCCTGCGGTGAAAGGATCAGAAGATGAAGTAGGAAAGGTATTGGTAATAGATGAACTCCTCTTAATACCATTTCCATTTTGACTGATCCTTTGACTATTTGACCCGTTCGACGGAATTGAAGGATCTGGAATGCGTGATGATAGCTCGACTGATCTTTTGTTCCTCAGTAGGGGTGGTCTCGAAGTAACTAAATAAGAAGTTCCATCACTTCCACTGTCACCATCACTATCATCGTCACTATCACCGTTGCTATCACCGTCACTATTAGAACCGGTCTCGTCTGAAGAATTACTCGAGTTGGTGCTATCTTCAGTGTTCTCATCCTCGTTGTCCTCACTATCATCACTACTCGCAATAATATTTGTATTTTTTTGAGAATTTGATGGTACAATAATATTATTCCTTGCTAAAGACTTGTAACGAAGTAAGTTTGAGGGCGGAGCGGATCGCAGTTCCGAAGCAGAAATTGATGAACTCAACTTTTTCTCAGCACCGTTTTTTGTAGGCATGTTTAGGTTTTTTTCTGATACGGATGATTTGCCTACACTAGAAGTTTGTGAAATTAGATGGTCTATATTGGATGAAGATACTGATTTTTTATGTAAGGAAGTAGCCCCGGTTCGTATTGAATCAGGAGACAACTTTCCGAAAGGTGAACTGGACTTGCTATTTCTCAGAGAAGCGAGGTCGGTTTGTGGTGAGGTAGGACGGGGACGAGTTGCGGTGGCCGTTGAATTTTTTAAACGTCTTTCTTTTAAAATCAAATTAATTTTTGAAACCTCTTCTTGGATATATTCGATAGAAAAATGATCTAAATCAGGTTTCTCATTTTTGGAACTTCTTTTATGGTTTTGTTGGCCATCTGAATCATCACGTGCAAGATCCTGTATTGATTATAAAGTTTTACATAAATGAATGCAGAAACCGAGAGAAAAGAATGACACAAAGACGAGTTGCATTTTACCGCCGTTAATTCCTCAACTTGTTGTTGCAGTTGACCAAATAATATATCCAGTTGGTTACTCATATTTTCTCATATTTTTTTTTTTATATTGCTTAATATGTACAAGGGGAAAAAGCAAGGTCCTGTAAGTTGAAAGTTTGAAACTTATTAGTGTCTCTGATGCATCGAATCAAAACACATTGAATGCTAGAAATCGAAAATTAACCTCGGATAAGAATCCAAACCAATAGTGTTGAAAAGATTAAAATTGATTCAACCTGCCAATAATTTATATAATGGAAATACCCTATTAAAAAAAAGAGAAAGCTTGGCAAGAAGGATAAAAGGTTGTACGGATATCAGAAATTATTATTATTATTATTATTTTATATAATATTTTATACGTGTGAGTTGTTTGTTTTTTACAAGAAAATAAAGTACACGTATAAATAAGATAAGTTATGCAGCAAACCATTTAAATCCTTTTTGATTTATATAAAATTCAATCGTACTACAGAGAATACGGAGAACAATGGTTACAGAATTACATATGTGGAACACTTGATGTATTTGAAGATTACAAGAATTCATAGGCAACTTCCCGGTTACACCAATTAGATTTGTGCGACGGAAAATCGACCGTTAGACCGGCATGTTCCTCGGGGAGAAAAATGCAAACCTAAGCGATGACATCCAATTTTCTCGTGGGTCGGCCTCTCTTTCCGGAATATTTTGGACCACTGCCGTTTATAAAAATAACCTTTTTTTCAATTAAATTTAATTCTTTGAGATGATGCCTTTGTTCCGAGAAAATCCTTTTTATTAACATGATCAAATGATTTGCAGTACATGCCTTACATGTTTAAGTATCGATACAGTATAATCGAAAATCATGACAAGACATCGGACAAGGATGTATTACTCCTTAAGTAAATATTTTTCCACCTCACTTCAGCCACCTAAAACTAGTTGCACCAATATGCTTTCCACGCGTCTCTTATACCCGGAATCTGTAATACCTTGGCGCCATTTATGTAAAATTTGGCATGCAAATTTATGATGCAACCAATGGAATCCTGTTTGTTGCACATCACACATCCACGCTGCATAGAAAAAAAGACTTGTGATTGAAGTAAGGTAATACGTATTGTCAACGGCATGAATACTCGCGTTCCATGCGCGAAAGCTTTATTCAGGGTGTTACCACCCAATCGTTCGCTGCTTAATTAAGATTTAACGAAGCGCCTAATGAAATTTAAAAATGTCGATGGCGCATTGTTTATGTTATTCAAGGTATTTCTAGATTGTTGGTTACGTTTTCTATTCCTGCTTCTGCTGCCCTGCCGATTCATGAATAAGTAGTCTAATGTCGGTGCACTGGCGCGTGACATCATTGATCCACCATAACGCAGTCAGATGCACAGATGTGTGAGAGTGGACGTGCCGAAATACGGTTAACACTAAAAGCTCTTCTATTTTGTAATACAATTTAAATTCTGTGTGATTGGTATTCCGTAGAAAAACAAATACGTAAGATACAGGTTTATATAAATTACGTGTATACGTAATAGTCATGTTATTTATAATTCCCGGATGATTCTTTTCCTTTCAAAAAAACGTCCATACATGCAAGAATCAGTGACACTCATTTATTAGTCGACCTTTTTTGTCCCTTTGCTGTTTTTAAAACATTGTTCGTTTTCTACAATAGAAGGTATTTTTAGGATACAAGACACTTCTTATCTCTTTTACAAAAAAGACCTTGGTTTTTTTCTTTTTTTTTTTTTTGCAGCTGATTGCTAAAAATAAACTCTGATTATTATTACTTTCTTCTAAGATTCCTGTTCTTTATGTTTATGTTCCCTAAAGGATATAATTCCTAGCTCTTTATTTCAATAGGAACATAATTCCAAAAATGATTTGTATAGATGTTTAAAACTATAAAGAACCTTTGTAGGTAGTTTTTTTTATTTCTTAATATAGAAATGAAAATTTTTAA